TCCTTTGACTGGTCCCCTCGGTTCCGGTGAAACCGTGGGCGCTGGCAAGCGTGAAGACGGCGAGGGTCGAGAAGAGGCGCCTGTGGACGGCGAGCACAAGGACTCGAACCGGTTTCCTGTGTCACTGGTCTGCGCCGGCCGACAGGGTCCAGAAGAAAGGGCAAGACGGACAAGACCAGAGAGAGGAGAAAAGAAGATGAAAGAAGAAAGAGAAGAAGCAGAAGAAGAAGAAGAAGAGCAAGAGGAGGAATGGGGCTGTGAGCCGGAGGGAGAGTGGGATGCTCAAGAAAACGAGGACGAGGAGGTGACTCTGACGCTCAACGCGAGGACAAGCCGGCCACAAGCCTCAGAGACTAGCGGAACTTGGCCGAAATGGACGAGTGATCAGGCCAAAGAGAAGGCAATCTCACTGCGTCGGTGGAAGGGAGGAGCCACTTTGTCGGCGGAGCCGGAAAACCGACTTTTTCCCACCTCTTCGTCGTCGTCATCCGCCTCCGCTTGCCAACGCTCATGTTACCCACATCGTGGTTGTGCACTTTCCTGTCGGCCGCAAGTCTGTACGGACGATCGCAGACCGAATAGGCAGGCCTCGTCCGTTCGCTATCCAGTTGCCTCGGCTCGGGAGTATCCGGCAAGCTGGCAGATGCCCGAGGAGGCGATGACGACTAGCCCACTTGAGGATTTCGACCATGACTACTCACTCGGTCAGACTGATCGGTAAGAGGACGAAGTTTTGCGCATGCACTTCTGCCAGAAGTTTGCCTTCAAATGCCGCTGCCGTAATTACTACTTATGCATATTAAAGTAATATGTCGAGTTTAGGGGCAGGCACTAGATCATCATAATCGTGGTCGCCTTCACAACAATCAAAATAATCATCATCATTCGTGTAATTCTCACTGGCATAATTAACGCCATCATCACTCTCGTCAATATTATCTTATTTTCTTGATAGGTTTTTTAAACTACCCTATCTTATTTATTATGATAAAGGATTGGTAGTTGAATTTTCCCATAATCATATGAATATGCCTTACGTTTCCATTGCATTTAACATTGCCTTCCTTCCAAAAAAGTATTATCATCCAGAATGGACCGAAGAGCTGTTTCTACTTCGCGTAGGTCTTATCACATTCAGTACCTTAAACGAAATGAGGCAAGTAAATAGCATATAAATGCTTAACTGATAGTCTTGAAAAACCCATTTATGAAATAAAAAATAAATGATATCGATAATCCCCCTATAGATTGTGATATGGGAAAATATAAGGTTTTCCTTAAAATTTACATCAGCTTAGTGACTCAAGGGCACTTGTGACAGTGTAGCGTAGTGCTGCACTACCATGACCCAGATTCGAGTCCCGCTGGGAGTGAGGATTCCATTCAAGCTAGGTCGAAGCGGCAGTACAGTCAAGCCTGAATGATTTGCTGGTGGTCTTAAAAATCATCTTAAAACAAAAAATGTTTTCCTTTTATTGTACCATGTCTCGTAGGAAACCGAAAGATAATTGACTCTGAGTAGGAAAGGCTGTTGAATTGTGCAAAAAACCTTCAGCCTACCGTATTTTTATGAATTATTATCTGTAACATGAAATAAGAAGGCTTATTGTTGGATAGACTTTCATATTATATGAAAGTACATGTTGAATATATTCTTTGGGAGACGATCGCCGATTTCCATTGCTTGGGCTTACTACAACGTTGACGCTGTCCACGAGGCATCCTCTCTAGTTTCGAGATAAACTGGTATTGCGTTAGCACACACACACAAAGGTTAAAGTACTACATATGAGATGTGTTTACCTTATTTCATTTCTGGTGATTAAGGAGTGGTAGCTGAATTTTTCTGCAATCATATGAATGGACCTCAAGTTTGCATTGAATTTCATGCAGCCTTGCTTTCGAGATTATGTCTGGTTTTCATAGTCTGAGTCCAGCTGGGGGCGTCGATGAGATCTAAGCGAAGTCGAAACTGCAGTCCACCCTGGATGAGATTACCTTCTGGGAAAGCAATTATATGTGAAATTCAATGAAAATATGAGGAATACTCATATGATTGTGGGGAAATTGGACTTCCAGTTCTTCATCACCTTTAACAAAATAGTGCAAAAAGATTTTATATATCTGAGTTACTGGTAGCCTCTAAAATCTACTTAAAACTAAAAATGAGTACCATGACTACTATGAAAGATGACTAATCAAACATCCTATATTTGTCTATTTATATCTACATAGTTTCTTTTATAGCAATGAGTAAGTATGCCATAAAAGCTAAAATCGGAAAGCCTTCTTGACTTGAGACTTTTGAAAGAATCACTTTGTGCTCTAATGATGTCCATCATATGTTGGACAAAAACTCAACCCGCTTTCTTCATAAATGAAGGAGGATATGTCTCGTGGACTGCTTTTAAATGAACGTCGTATTATAAAAGAAGAACAGTTGGGTTTAGAGGAATCTCTTGTGTCCGACCTTGCGCAATCGGAGTGATGGTTATAAGACGTATGTAGAAAGGGGGAGATAGGGGTCATCAAACCTTGATCACCGAAAACAGACGTTACTTGTTGCTGACTAAATTACTTTGAGCCGTCACTGCGGGTTTCGTGAATAAGCGAACACAAACAGGCATATACAAATACAGAGACAGACACACTCACAGGCTTAAAAGTTGACATATCTCCGTAACTAACCAAATCACTTTATACCTGACCAAAGAGGCCAGATGTAAAGTATATATACCGCTTTTTAAGGATTTGCCGGTGAGTTTTCTTGACTCGTTAGCTTGAAGTTGGTTGTGACGATGATACCTTGCTCTGATGATGTTGG